GTCGCGGGCGTGTGTAAAGGTAGACGCGTTACTGCGTCGCGTTTGCACCGCTGCTAAAAGTCGCCGTGTGCAAACGCTCTAAGACAACACTCTTTTTACATCATCAAAACTAGCAATCCGCTAAAAGTCAGTATACTCTGTAATTTAAAAGACGATTATATCCGGTTACAATCCGCTTATTATTCAATCCCTTACATAATCTGATTATTGGATAAAGAAGTTTTTGACACAATATTGCTCATATTAAATAATGTACGTGGTGTTGTGTATTTATAAGCATTTATAGGGTTGGCCAAAAAATCCGTGCGTACTCTTTGCTGGTTTGTATACCACACAAAGAAACGATTTAAACACCACCATTTATTTTATTCTCATTGAATAATATAAATAATTTAGTAGCCGAAGAGCTCCTAGTGAGAAACTTCAGGGATATGAGCATTACTGCGTTCCGGTTATTTGATGTTTGAAGTATAAGGGTGCTGGTGAAATTACAGGCACATAGAACTTGGCAACTTAGGTCTCTGGGTGGCGGGCGCTGTGGCAATGCCTGTCAGATCTTAGCGACTTAAAGCCCTGCGTGGACTGCTCTATACAGGCGTGTCACTTAACACATTTGTTCGTCCCGTTGCTCAATACCATGAAAAAATAAAATATTGTCAATAGATATGTGTTTAGTCTAACTACTCAGCAAACAGAAATATCGTACACGCATTTATATATTATGTTTGTATATATTAGTATTTATAAATTAAATAAAGTTTTTTTCGGATTCAGATTACTAAATTTTTTTTTAAATATATATTTAACCATCTTATTTTTTTGAATATCAATGAATAATGATATTTCATAATATTTAAATGTTTCCATTCATTTTCAAATCAAACGAAGATACTGGTAAATGCGTGTAATTAACCGACTTAAAAAAAAGGAGCAGGTTCTCAATTCGATTGTATGTTTTTTATTTATTTATATTTTGTATGTTAATGATAATTTCATATTGCACCTGCATAACGGCAATTGTAAACCGATATTGATGACTTTTTAGTCTCAGTAGTGGTCTCATTTAAATTTGAAGAAAATATTCCATCTAACGGTGGCAAACTAGGGGATGAATCTGGTTTCGCGCTTTTTCGGTAACCAATTTCAATAAAACTTGGCAAATACATGTAATTCCACGAACTTTTGAGGTCGGTTTTTTATTGTTATAAATTTTCAGGTTACAAAGCTATTCAGCTTATTGCCATAATGGAGCACGCATACCATGCATCTTTCGGGTACCAAGTCACAAGTTTCGTCGCAGTTTCGATTATTTCTCAATTATATTTTAATTTGCAAGGACTATCTGTTGGCACCATATTAAAATAGCTACTGAAAGCTGCCACTAGACAGTTAAAAAGAACAATTTGCGGTACAATATTCATTGATACAAATCATATCACATGTGCCACGAAAGTGCACTAGTATACTTGTGTTATAATGTAAGTTGACTTACGCTTTCCGCATGCCCTGTCTAGATATGACGGCGTTTATGTCTGAGCACGTGGCTAGAATTAAGTATGGCCTGCGCCCGCGCTGTTTCATCATCAAGGCCGAAATTAGATCCATACCAACCACTTTCACTTTACCATCTTTTATGAAAGCTTCCTCACGACCTTTGGAAAAAGCCATAATTACCATCATTATCAAGAAGAATTTGTCTACTATTATCACAGGTCTTCTCTATATAACGACATAACACAATGAATGGTCTTGTTTAGTTGCAACCTGCGGTTAACAGGACTCCTCTATATGGAACGACATAACATAATGAATGGTCTTGTTCAATTGCAACCTGCTGTTAACAGGACTTCTATTGTATAGAACGACAGAACATAATGAATAGTTTTGGTTCAATTGCACTTGCGTAAGCGCCGAGCCCAAAATTCTATTGAGAAGATTCGTGCTGACCAATGAGACGTTAGAAAAAAATATCGTTACTCCCAAGAGATATCAAAAAGTGAAAGACATATGGCGGAAATATTTATTCCTGCATTACCGTCAAGTCTGTATCTGAAAATGAGCTAGAGGTTTACAAAAACAATATTGTATCTTGATTCTTAGCGAAATGTAATTGACGCGTGAAACTCACTAAGCCCGTAGGACTCCCCATCTCTCTCGCAATAAGTAAGTAAATCTCCAGCTAAGAGCATGTCGTCGAATTTGCTTCGGGACACTTCAATGAAGTGTTCAGGGTAGTGGAAAGGGTAAGTGGTGTGCAACTTTCCAAGTTCCACGTTTGTCTGGCACTCGTCCGCAAGGCGCCGGAGTAAAGTTCCTGAAATATTTAATTAGATGATTAGTGATCCAAAGTATGATATTTAGGACACTAATTTCACACATAATAGCATTATAATAGCCACAATGATGACATTACAATTTGGTATGCATGGATTCAATATACCTAATTGTAAAGACATATTATCCCTTCATCGCGTATTCTACAGGGCGTCCGGTAACGAATGGATAAGCCTGCACTGCCTAACAGTATGCAGTTAGGCATTTCAGGCTTGCAAACAACCCAGTGCAATAGTTAGTCATATTATTTATTATCTATTATCACATTAACGTTGAATATTGTGACACCAAGAAACCGAAGAAATTCATTCATTCGTGGTAGTGATGTACAAGAACCTAAAAATAAGGTAAAATTAATTCACTTCGAAAAAAAAAAGATATATCATAGGTATTACTTGAGATTATATTTTTTAAATATTTATTTAACAGTCATAAGCTATGCTGTCAGGCATTTCAATATTATCCATTCATTACAGGACACTGTATAGACCATTTCAATTTCCTGTTGAAGGCAATGGCAATCATCGACTTATTGGTCAACCAGAATTTGACGCCAGGAAAAAGCAGTCCTCTATTTTGAAGATCCTTTTTCAAGTATGAGAACCTCAGTTATAATTTATAAATGACGCTACCTGATAAATAATGAACTCTAAATAATTTATAATAAAGTTCGTAATTCTCAAATTACGATGTTAAAAATCAGAACTGAGAATGAATAAATTAGCCCAAATGATTGCATAAACAGTTGCACAGACCTTTACCGACGGCCTCATATCCAACTAGTATGACTATGGGTACTTCCTGAGTGTCGCCAGGAGGAACGAAAGGGGAGACACGAGCCCTTGAAAGCTGTTCTATATATAGCAAACGTAATAAGCGGCGTGTTGCAAAAGCTGTTACATCGGGAGACATATGCATTTTCAGGAGTCGCTGAAATATGTAATAATATATATATGACATTCGAAAAAGTTACTGAGCTTTTTACTCTGGAAGAGATCCCCGTGGCTCACACTGATCTCCATGTTACACTAGTAGGTTGTACGCAACTATTTAAGGTAATTTATGTACAGCCTTGAGTCTTACCTGTTCAACTGGATCAAGATCTTTACCATCCAAACTGAGCAAAACAGGGAAACTGTTTATGACGACATCTTTATAACCCGACAGGGAACTTATAGGGTTCTCACGAAGATCAAGGATAACTAGTCGCTTGAGCTGCCGCATGTACACTGCAAGTTCTAAGAACATGTTTAGGCGGTTGTTGCGCGCGTGAAGTTCTCGGAGTCTGAAAATTTATTGAAGTACCTAAGTATGACCAGTTGCGTTAGGAATTGAAACTGTCCTATCACAAGATTATAATATCACGCGAAATGCAGTATGACATTCAAACTGTCCAAAAACATACTATGAATAAAATGGATGCAATAGGTGAATATTTCTTCATAATTTTCCATCACTTTACACCCCTTCTTTCACGTTAGAGGTTGAATTTTTAAAAACTGCTACAAGTGCTTCTTACCTACTTTCGTACCTTATGTGTAGGCATTGGACTAAAAGTCTGTCAAGGTAAACAAGACCACGCATAAAGAGACTTACATTTGTAATAATTATTGATATATACCTTCCACATCCCGAAAACATCCTCATAGAAGTAAGTTTGTTTTCATTCAGATTCAAATATTCCAGATATAACATAGTCCACAGGCCTGAATTCGTCCCGAACTCGAAACTAGATATATTGTTGTATGACACGTCGAGCCATATAAGTTTAAGGTGATTTAGATTCTCTAAACGCTGGATGTTATTGAATGATAGATCCAGTCTTCGAAGATAGCTGAAATGAAGCGATTGGATTCTAAGTGCAAATGGAAATCTCGGGTAGATGTTGAATTCGTCTTAAGTTTTAAGGAAATGAAAACCGTTTGAATATTGTAATCGGTTAAACTGCGGATTTGGTATTGGTATGCGTTTTCTTTTTAGTTGAAATATGTACGGTCTGTTTGTAACATTCAAGTTTACAAACGGATAGTCAATAGTAGAATTCAATAGTAGTAAAGTAGATTCTCAACTAAATTGAACGCGTCAAAGCAAGTAATTTTTTTTAAACTGAACGCAATGTGGGAACTGAAAGTAAATAATCTTTGCATGTTTTTCAAAATGGCCATCGTAACGATTTCTTGATTTCCCGCGAAAAAATATCAGAAAATTAAACTATTGAACTTAAAAATAACAAAGTGCTCTAAATAAAGTTGTGAAACACACTATAGAAACTATTTAAACCAACTCTTAAATCAAGAACTCTAATTAAAATAGGACTAGGAAAAATTTTAAGCTATTGAATAAAAATTACAATGTAAATTCTGACAGTATGGCATGGCCATGACAAAAAAATTTATTATTACTAAATAAATACAAAATAAGCAGATATTTCGAGCTCTCAGAACGTACAAATTATATTGTTTGATAAATATTTTTGATTCGTTTGACCGAGATCATTTTAAAGTTGACATTACCTTTAAATGTTATAATTTGGAACTTTCGGATTATCGAAAGGTTCGACGTAATTATTATTACATCAACTACCACCTAGTAGGGTACATGCTCACTTTAAGTTTTCCAAGCCGCTGATCATTTTAATATTATTATGCGATAGATTTAACACAGTGATAGACCAAAACAAGGTAATGTCTCTAATTATCATCACAGAGTTGTATTCGTAGTGCACTTCGGTTAAAAACCACTGAGCTGGAAAAAAACATTTTAGGTTAATTAGTGTAGATTGGTACGGGAGCAGTTAAAAGCTAATGGTCAGATTTTAACTAGAATTGCTTATAAGATTAACGGGATGCAATCCCTTGCTTTATTGGTATGTAACCACGGTACACGAAACTTTTCAACTATGTCCAAGGGTGAGGGGGCGCAGTAGCAGTGCCCCTCATATCTTTGCAATTTAAAGCTTGGAGTGACACTGCAACTGTTATGGGCAGGTGCAGTTCAGGCGCACCACCTGTTTGTCCCATGACTTAGTATCATAAAAATATTATAAATGAAATCGTATTACAATATTGTTATGTACTGCCGCTTATGTATTAAACCGCCATTATAATTATAACTCACACAACATTTCTAACGAAAGTGTAATTAACAAATTACTTTTCCTTGATCATAGTCAAAAGTTTCTTGGAACGATGGAAAACACTACATTGTGACTTAGGGCGCCTGCAAATTAGACGCTTATAGAAGCGCTGCAGTGACACTACAGTGGCGCTGCAGCCACGCTACTACTAATTTGCATACAATATTTAGAATCGTAGTTGCGGTACCACTATCGTAACACGCGTGCTCCACTTTTGTAGTTACAATTAGTGAACTAAGAGTTACTGAAGGGCTACAGACGCGCGGCTGCCGTGCCACAGTCGCACCACCGTAGCGCGTCTAATTTGAAGGCGCGCTTATAGGTTTTTGATTTGAGACAGTATAACTAACGCAGGAGAAAATTTGTTATCAAAGGCCTTTTGACTTAATTGACAAACCCACGTCAAGATCGAGATTAAGAGTGAAGAGAGACCCAATATAGACGATTTGACGTATTTCGACCACACGCAAACTCGGTTATTCGACATTAAGAAAACTAATTAATTTTTTTAATTCATAATGAAAACAGAAGATACCAGTAGTGAACCATGGAGGCCTAAGCACGTTTGACTAAACCTTCGCTCAAAAAAAAAAAAAAAAAATCGCAAAACAAAGAAGTTCCGCAACATTTTTAATTTTTATAACGGAAAAATCAGTTTCATTCGAGAGTTATTGCAGGTACATCAATTTATTTTTTTCTTCCGTGTTAAGTAATAAATACGTCAGGCGACCATGATATTGTTACACAGTAAAAGGGTATAATAATATTTTATTTGTAAAAGGTAAATTTTTAAGGTAAAAGGGTATAATACTTTATTTCTAAAAGGTAAATTTTTAAATAACGTGTAATTAATTTCTCCTCGTCTGCCTCACACGCTTCAAAATTTACGCAACCACGGTGCCATTTCGCCTTATAAGCTTACATAAGTCTAGTGTCTTTATTAATGATGTTACTTGAGTGCACATCAAAAATTACTCATTTAATACGCATCATTTGAGAGCTGTCAAAATTTCCGCTTAATAAATTTCACTGAACACTGTTACGGCTCAAGACCTTTGTTGAACCCCAATCAATTAAGCGAACGGTCTTTGTTACTTGGGGTGGAATCATGCAACATGTCGATGGTTACAATCTGTAAATACAGAGAAGCTTGTGATACATCCGGAGACCTGAGTGACGTCTATGCCTAAACTATATTTTGAACCTTATGAGCATAGAGGTAGGCGTTTTGCTTTTTTAATATAAACACATAAGTATGCTTGTAACTTTATAAGTCTCAAAATTCGCGCAAGAAGTAATTTTGATAGAAAACAGAGGTTTATAATTAAAAATTGTAACTTTTTTATTGATCCATTAAGTACATGGTTTAAGGGTTATGTGTGGTAAAGCATGAAGGGTAAAAGGCCTCCAAGGTGGAAGACACGGTTTTGCTGGTACATTCGCACTCTTTTCATGAAATTTCCGATGACCGTTTTGCATAACTGTGACTGAATCACGTTGATACATAAGTCTATCACGTTGGCATAAACCTTCGATTTAAAAAAGCTTCAAAGAAAATGTTGCTAACTATGAATAGAAAGCACAATTTCTATCAAAATTACTTCTTGCGTGAATTTTGGGACACAAGAGTTAGTGGAAACATAGTTAAATAAAGATATTGAACTATGTTTCCTAAACAAATTAATTCGTCAATGTGAATAATAATTTTCTAAATATAAATAACAGCCGCGTTTTACAAATAAATTCAATTATCTGAAACGTCTGAATTTACAAGTGACCGGTTCTAGCTTTTCGCTCTCAACACAATGTTGCAAGCTTTTTTTAACATAGTCTATGGACGATCTCCGTGGTCGAGTGGCTTGCGCACCGGTTTTCATGGTGGCGTCAACTCTGAGGTCCCGGGTTCGACCTTCGGCCAGGACAATGTAAAAAACTAACTTTTCTATATTATAGTCTCGGGTTTGGGTGTTTGTGGAACACAAGTGCTTTACTTACTTTGGGATCAAAGCAACACATGTGATATTGTCTAATATTTATTTACTTATGGGCTTAAAGTTTTCCTAAATGGTTTTGTAAGTTTCAAACTAAAAAGCGTAGTCCTTTTCTAACAATGACCTATCATTTGTAAGCGCGCTTTTTTACATAAGTACCACGTTCTACCGTTTAAAATGTATAAGCAGTTTTTTTCACCTCTGAGTTTTATAAGTATAAGTATTTTGTAAGGTTCATTGTTCAAGTTTCTGATTACACAATTTTAGCCACAGTATAAGGATGAAAATGCTTTCAGCGATAGTACACACTTAACATTTCAAACAGGAGTTTCATCGCAGCTGCAGTGGGTTATGAGATAATAGAATAAGTTCTACAAGAAAACTTTTATAGTTTCCTTTTCATAGTTTTTAAGTAAAGTAATTGATAGTTATTCCTCGAAACTATAGAACAAATCAAGTACAATACATTACTTTCGAGATTTTGAAGGGAGGTATTAATAATCTACTCTATATGTTCTTTGAAGTTTGTACAATGCCTATTATGATCAATAAGGACAATATCAAATAAATTTGCGTCTGGTGAATATTTTACTTGTTTTTAAAATAAAATGTACGTATTGTTTTTTCTTATATTGACCAATAATTTATTTTTTGATTTTTGCACTTAAATTTTATTATATATATGTGCTTTAACCTTTCAATTACTTTCTTACCAACCTACCTCAATTAAATATCTATCAACAGTTTTTTTATAATTTAATGTTTTTATAATAAGTACTTTTACGAAATTTAAACAAGTATGTTTACAACTAGTTAATAAAAGTCAGGTATCAAGAATTTAATCTTCTAAACAATCTTTTACATTATAATAGCTTTTATTTATTAGTAATTTCTTTAAGTTTTAAAAAAAATGTTGTTTGGCTCATATTTTTAACTCTCCGGAAGTTTGTTATATATTTTTATTGATGTTTATGATGCCCGATGCATAAGTCCGACAACGCATTTGTGATGTTAAGGTTATTTTTAGAATTGCATATCATGTCTCTAGGCGATAATAACCACTTTCCATTAGCTGAACCATTTGAAAGTCTGCCAGGTTCTACTCTTACTATAAAAAGGTGAACTAAATTATTTCTAATACAACTTACGAGTTTCGTATTCCAAAACGGTCGTCAGCCTATTAAAAGATACACTGAGAAACTGCAAATATAGCAAATGTGAGAGCACAGTTAATTCTGTTAATAAGTTAGACGACAGGTCCAAGTATACCAAGTATTTATAATGCTGCAACACTTCTATATTTACGAGGCACTGTAATCATAAGTTGCAATTATTTAACATTAGAAAATAGACTTAGGGCGCCTTCAAATTGGACGCTTATAAAAGCGCTGCAGTGACACTACAGTGGCGCTGCAGCCGCGCCACTACCAATTTTCATACAATATTTAGAAATGCAGTTGCAGCACCACTGCCGTGACACGCGTGTCACTTCTGATTGCAGTCACATTAGTCAACTAAAAATTACTGAAGCGCTATAGACGTTCGGTTGCCGTGTCACTGAAGCGCTTCTGCCTAGGGCTCCTAAAATTTTCCCGGTATTGGGCTTAATGATTACTTCCGGTATTCCCCGTACTTCTTGAAAAGCTTAAACTGTAACCAGTTAGTATGCTTATTCCGGGTTTTCCGTACCTATACAATAATTTACGTAATAACAATACTATAAAATAATAAAGAAAAGCTTCATTCTCTAATCGAACTAAAGGTTTGTATTAAAAATTTGATAGATAATTACTATAAAATTTAACACAACATAATGTCGTAAAATCACATTGTAGTTAAGTAATAAGTTTTAGTGGCATTTCAATGGCAGTAATGTGCGCCCGTGCGAAGTTGCCAACAGGCAACATTACTCGTAGCTCAGTAGGTAGGTAGTTCCTTGCTGTAGCCGGGAGTACCGGGAATCTATAATCGCGGCACTGGGACTGATTGCACCTCGCTAGCGCCGAGATTTTCCGGTGTTTTCCGGTACAAATTCTACCAGTGGCTAATTTGATGGCGCCCTTAAATAGATATAGTTACAGATTTAAAAATAAAAAATTGAACGGAAAAATATGTGAGTTAGTTGCAGTTAGCGGTACTGCACAAACTAAGGGTTAGATTTATATAAAACGAACTTTGACTAAGCAAAAATGGTGACCTAAGCAAGTTTTTCGTATTTAAAAAATTCATTCAATAAAATAATTTGTAAAACTTAATGTAGCGTAAATTAGAATGTTTTCTTTGTAAAATTAAAAATAAGGTATTTAATTAATAACTATTGTAACTATAGTGAAAAATAGGGTGGTTTGCATCAATATTAGACATAACTGGTTGAAGACTGTACCACCTCAGTCAACCGTGACCATGGGACCTGTAAAGGGCCCAAACGTCGGTTTGTTTGAAAAAACAAATATACGTGATTTAAATCTGGAAAAATAGTTTCATTTCCTAAAAATAATGATTTTCACATGAAACTAATGAAGGCAAATACTAAATATATTCCGTAAAAATAGCTAACGTAAATTCCCTACAACGTTGTCGCGGCGGTGCACATTTGTAGAAATTCTGCAACGGTTGTGATATTGCCTATTCTCAAAAAATTACGTAAAATAATTTTATTATTTTGAAACAGAATAGCAAAATGGGGAGAAAAAATTCGTTACTTTGCAACATTTTCGTATCTTGTTGCAACGAAATTAATTTTCTGTTTTAGTGAATATTTACATAAAAATACAGCTTGAAACGCTTTACTTCCTTGTGGAATGTGATCTTAGTATCTATTCTATTTTTGTCTGACGTATTTTTACACTCATTCACCGAACATTTCGTTATTTTTAGCTAAAATTCTTGAGCTGTTCGCGGTGCAAGTTGACCTTGAGCACTGACGGCCCGCCCGCTCGTGTAAGCCTATTGGGGTCCCTACAATTTGCCTCACTTAGCGTGTGAGGACTAGGTTTCTATGCGTTATTATTCTAAGGTCACAATTATGTAAATACTTAACAATAACGGCTAAAAAGCTTGACTATTTCGCTGTTATTGCTTAGCTAAAGTCAAAGTTGGTTCCATAAATCTTAGTCTATAAACGTATTTTGCTAAAAAAGACAACTTATCTTCCCAATATTTACTAACATTAATATTTCTGGTGTTAGAAAAGTTGAGGAAAAGTTGAGACATCGAAAAACGAACGTCAGATCCACCCTACACGTTCACGGCAGTTGATTGATGCAAGAACTAAACATGGCTTACTTTTTGTACAAAAGGTTCTTTACACATGGCGATATTTACTATTATGCGCAATAGGCAAATTAATTGCATTATAAGTAAATATAAATTTATTTCAATAATTTGTTGAAATGTAACAAGGCCACATCTGCAAAATGACAACATTTTATAGTCTGTGTTTTTCGAAGAGGGAGTAAAATGACATTTGCAGGGTTGTCAGTTTTCTTATTTTAAATAGTCATGTAGTCGCTGTCGACAGTTTTATCGATGGGATGTGAAAGAAGATAAAATTCTGCCAATAACGACTAAATTTTCAATATTATGACGCCATAATGACTATTAATTGAGTTGTTGCCATATCTTTATTTTTATTTTGACAGTTGACAAGATTTTAACAAGAATTTTTAGCAGATTTTATTATCTAAATTGAATTAAAATGAAAAAGTTTCAAATACGTCTTCTCTTTGAATTTTTCATAGACATCGTTCTAAATATAGTGTATGTATGTAAGAACTTACAAAAATTGACATTTTAAATTAACCTGCGCTCAGTAATTGGACGATTGATAGGCCGAAGAGTAATTTTTGGCTATTTATTCCATAAGCGTGACCAATATTCAGTCGATAGTCGACAGAATGTATTTATCGACTGCAATCACTAACTTCTTGAGTTTAAGATTCTAGGAAATTAGTCGATAAAAAGAAATTAGGTAGTCGAAAACTTTTTTATGTTATGATTATTTACATCTTTATATTCTACGTACACGTAGAAAAATTTCTTCGACCCGATGGGACTTGAACCTATGACTGCGCTGTATGGTAGCGTTGCTCTACACCTAAGCTACTGGTCAAGTTATCGAGTTGTCAAAATTCTCTTGTTTTTGTTATAGATCTTTGAATTGGTTTTCGGCATTCGGCGCCGCTGGTGACATCTATTGAGAGATTTTAGAACCTTCTCACCTCTATGTACGGACAACGGCACATCAGACTGCACATTTTTGTTCGAAAATCGCGTCCAGTGCAACGAAACAAGATACGCCAACGTGTAGATGTGCTGGCGTGTGTACATTGTATTAAAAAGAAGTGGAATTTTTTCTAAGTGTTCGATCTTTGTATTAATAATTATAACAAAATAGTGGAACAATTTTACAAAAAAAAATTGAATATCATGGTAGTGACACATTCTGACATTCAATAATTTTTTTTACAGTTAATAGCGACATCTCTAGCCAGGGCTAGTAGCTGTAAAGGTACCTGTCTGGGTGACGAAATACTTTCATAGATTTCTCATAGATGGCGCTACGGTTGAAAACCTAATACAAAGATCCGCAACATAGAAAACATTGGTGTGGTCCGCTGGTTCGTTCCGTGGCTTGGTTGGTATTCGAGACGTCGGTTCGAATTCGTCCGGATCGAAGGATTTTTTCTAAGTGTTCGATGTTTGTATTAATAATTATAAAAAAGTAGTGGAGTTATCGAGTTCTTAGGTTTTCGCGATAGTTAAACATAGGAAATGAAACTATTTTTCCAGATTTAAATCGCGTAATGACTGTCACTGTCAACCGTGACCATGAGACCTGTAAAGGGCCCGAAACGTCGGTTTTTTTTGAAAAAACAAATATACGCGATTTGAATCCGGAAAAATAGTTTCATTTCCTAAGTAGTGGAGTTATTTCACAAAAAATCTCAAGTTTTTATGCTTAAATAGGAGAGTTATAACATGTATACATGATTCGTTTCATTTACTTCGTATTATTTTGTGACTTACATGTGACACAATGATGTATGATCACATGTGGCTTTATCATGCCAAGGGTACGAAGTATAGTTTTGTTTATCCTTATTTTGATTATAAAAAACTGTATTCTTTGTTTAAGAGAAAACATGTGCATATTGTATCTAAAGTGATGCCCTACTAGAAAGAGCAATGATTGTATCAATGCAAACGTCGTCGCATGAATGTATGCTGTAATAAATTGAGAGTTTTAGTAGATTTACCTGACCGGAAAGATTCAGTTTTATACAGACAAAGTCGCCTAAAATAGGCGTTCGCTTAAGGTAAGTAAGACAGGCAGCGATCATATCCCTTGTGAGGACGCCGCCGACCAATTCAGGAACAGCGTCCAAGCGAACCACGCGCACTAAGGGAGAATACAGATCTTCGTATAGCTCTGGAAATATGTAGAAACATCCCCAATGTTGATCTTCGTTCATTAACGGTGTTACATGAACGGGATACTGCAATGAAGAACAGTAGATTAAATAACATTTTATTAATGCATACTTTCGTGGTTACATTAAACAATTTATCATATTATAAACAATTAAATACCACATTATGAAGAATTTCTCACATTTCTGATGTTTTTACAAATGTTTTTATTTCTTTGTGTAATTAATATTAAAGTGTCACCATGGCAATTGATATGCAATATTTGGTTAGGGCCTTGTTTATGTTTTTTTTGTTATACTAGAACACCGAATTCTACATAACGTCGAGGATAGTGCAAATCCGCGAATGTATAGTATGGTATATGTATATTGGTAAAAGGCTGGTATTTGAACTAAACCAAATTTTACAGCAGAGAGATTTAACGTTATTATTTTGTTATTTCAATGGTTCCGACTTAAATATTTGTACAGTAAGCATTAATTTCGTTGTCCACGGACTGATAACAATAGATTCCCGAATGTCACGCTTTTTGGTTGCCACGACATTTACGCGCATTTGATGACCACTAAATTACCGAAATGGTAACTCATAATCCAAAGCTAAGTGACGTGTAATATTTTAGTGAATTTGTATTCTTTTGAGAAATAACTATCATAGGCTCAACTCACACTGGCGCAGAGTCGAAGCGGCGCGACTTTTCATTCATCTCTATTTTCCCATAATTAAGATACAAATTTGTGTTATGCGAATATGAAATCGCGTGTCGACGCGCGACATATTCGCGCCGCGACACTTAAACGCAGTGGGGTTATTTATTCTATTTATTGAACTAATTTTTTATTGTATTTTTGAGGGTACAAACAACTCTATCACAATGTAACAGAAACTGTATTAAATAATCATAAGCAAAAACAGTTTCCTACTGATTAAATACAATAGCTAAAAACAGCATTGATAATAATACTACACAACTAAATGACATTGTACATGCACATGGCACATTTTATAGAAGCAAAGTAACATTATGCAAACTAGCTCGCTCTAGTAATAACAAATGAATTACATAATACTTTCTTAACGTACGCACAGCTTGTGTTAAACAAATCTTAAAAAGTAGAAACTTTGTTAAAGTTGTTGCTCGCACGCCAGCCATATTTAACCAAATTCCGTTTGTAATTTTGTAGAGCGACAGGTAAATGAATTAGTGACTAGTTACGTAAATGCTTAGCTGGAACCCTTAAGTGAATCTCAGATAGAAGGTCGGGACAGTCGACGACATTGGTGGTAATTTTAATGAGATAGTTTATGTCTGCCAGTCATTTCACATAGCAATTCAAAAAGTATATGGTGTCTTTTGCAGATATCTAAATAGTTTGGAGTATGGTAAGGATGATTATTTAAAACATAAGTAACGAATATAACGAATTTAAACGATATAAATAGCGTTTTGACGCTTTATGCCAGAAACGCAAAATGCCCAACGGGCAGAATGTTATATTAGCAGAACGCCAAATTCGCAGAATGCCAGGTGCACAGCATGCCAGATACACAGAATGCCAGATTGCAGAATGCCCGATTCGCAGAATGCCAGATTGCAGAATGCCCGATTCGCAGAATGCCAGATTGCAGAATGCTCGATTCGCAGAATGCCAGATTCGCAGAATGCCAGATTTTCAGAATGCCACTGCCAGGCCTTCCTCTTCCTGACGCACGAACTAATAGCCATGACTGGTAGCTGTAAAGGTACCTAACTGGGTGACGAAATGCTTTCATAGATTTCTCGTAGATACAAAGATCTGACAACAAGCACATAGAAAAATCCGTGAGGTATGCTGGTTCGTTGCGTGGCTTAGTTGATATAGCGTCTGACACGGTTTGCTAGGAGACGTCGGTTCGAATCCGGCCGGATCGAAGGAACTTTTTCAAAGTGTTCGAACAATTATAACAAACTAGTGGAGTAATTTTACAAAAAATAATTGAATGGTATTCACACACATAGACAACTACAAATTACATCCAAACTCACGAGTTAAATAAGTGTAGGCTTTATAAATATTTCTCCCGGCCCGGGAATCGCACCCAGGACCTCAGCGTGGCAGTCCAGGATAGTAACCATCCGGCCACGGAGGCAGATTCAGGAGGCAGTGATAAAAAGAGTACGATTAATGAAAACAGAAGCAATAGAACATAATGTAATTTGTTAGTGTTGGAGTTACCCCGGAATTTTACCGTGTTTCTTTTCTTTCTTTCGTCCACGTGAGCAGTTTTATTAGAGGTCAAGAGGAGCTGGTTATAGATTGTAAGGAGTGGAGGAGGCTACACCGTAAATAAAAATATTGTGTACCCTAGTGCCTTTCAACAATTTCAGTCATTTTATTATATAAAAGAGAAAGTAAAATGATAACGGTCCAACAAATCCGGAATTTCAGAGTAAATGTAAAATGACATAGGATGTGTTTTTCCGAAGGGAAATAGAAAATGCGAAGTGATGAAATGTTACCAACCTTCCTCAAGGGGACGTACATCAAATTGGGGATGACGCAATTCCGCCGTTACTTTTACCTTGACATCATCTCAAAAGATGTTAAACGGCCCTTAAGAAACTACCTAATATCCCAAATGCGCCTACCTGCGGGGCCGTTGACGAAAATATTTCATAAAGAATTTTGTATTTTCCATTCATGAATATTCCGAAACTCATAACGCGAAGTTTAGGCAAACTTTCCGAGAATTTAATATCATTTATGGTTTTATTTAGAAAAGTTTGTCTTTCTAGTTAATTACATTATACTTGAGGGACATGTTTGCAAAGTTATCTTGTCTAAACTTCGATTCTACGTGGAATTTCATATCTCGAATATTGGGACTAGGACTGGAACATAAGTATTTTATGTTCGTACAGTGTGTTGCTCCAGGCAAGCGACTATATAAAATGTGAATTTTACTATCTTTCACTTAACGATCAAATTCATCAAATGTATAAGTTATACGGTATTGAATTCCGTGCTTATGTATGTTACTACATACACCTGCTGGTGTGTACTATTATTCAAACAAAGCCACAAAAAAGTGAGAATATGATATAATAACATTCATTACCCGCCTTCGAAAAGGGAGGGGTTCTCAATTCGACTGTAATATTTGTGTGTACGTTGGGCGCACTATAAATTTCCGGAATAAATAAGAGAAAAATACTATAAATGGTCAGAAATTAATTTATTGTTTCTCGAAATATTCTCCGTTAGCGTTAATGCACTTTTTCATACGAATGACCCTATTTTGAAAACATTTATGCCACTCCTCCGTGACAATCTCTGAAACATAATTTTCATACTCTTCGACAGCCTCTTCTGATGATGAAAATCGTTGACCGCGTAAGTGGTTCTTAATTTTTGGAAATAAATAAAAGTCATAGGGTGCCAGGTCGGGACTGTACGCGAGATGGCGCATAAGATCAAGTTGTTCACCTTCAAAAATTCATTTATCTCTCTGTCCGTGTGAGAACTGGCATTATCGTGGTGCAAGATGATACGGCTATTTTTACGGAGTTTGTCAATAACTTCCGGCAAACAAATGGTCGTGTACCATTCACTATTCACGGTGCAACGAGTCTCCAAAGCAACAGTAGCCACGTATCCAGTTTTATTACAAAAAGAAGCAATCATCGGCTTAGAGGCAGTTTGCCCGCGCTCCAGTTTAAATAAATAAATAAATAACGCACACACTCAACATAGCCCCGCACTAGGGAAACCCTGTGTGGCACACACATAAACAATCACAAATTACACCCAAACTCACGAGAGAAATAAATGTAGGCCATACAACTATTTCTCCCGGCCCGAGAATCGAACCTGGGACCTCTGCGTGGCAGTCCGGCATGGTAACCGTTCGGCCACGGAGGCAGTTTGGTTGGTTCCGGCTCATCTCGACAAACCCTTATGCTCGATTGCTGTTATGTTTAGGGATCGTAACTATAAATCGTCACCTGTTACTATGTCCCACACCAAATTTGACCCCCCGTTGAATCTGGTAAGCATGGCATTGCACCAAGTGACGCGATTCGTTTTTTGAGCTCCAGTCAAATTGTGTGGGATCCACTGAGAGCACAGCTTTTTCACACCTAAATGTTTGTGTAGTATTGATTGTATTTGATTCATGTTTATTCTCAAAGATGTCCGAATCTCATAGTACGTCACATGCCTGTCTGTTTTGATAATATGGCTCACAGCACCGATGTTTTTGTTGTTCACAGCAGTGGACGGGCGACCATCACGATTTCGTCACTGAGATTCACACGACCGCGTTTGAATTCTGCAAACCAGCTATAAATAGTCGTCTTGCATGGTGCTTCATCGCTAAAAGCAGTTTGAAGCCGAGCAAAACTCCGCTGAGCTGTTAAGTTACACCTAAAGTCGTAGAAAATCATACTACGAAAATTTTCACGAGTTAAATCCATGGTGATGTAGACAACCAATTTCTAAAATGACGCCACAATGTAAAAACAAGTGACAGTCAGATGAAACAAACTGTATTCTACAGCTAGAGTTCTATTTTCAAATGTTGTAATTACTTTTTATATATTGTTTATGTAAGTGGCCATTTTCGGAAACTTATAGTGCGCCCTATGTATGTTCCGCGATTACTCCGATGTTTGAATCCTGTTTATTGATTTTCACCCACTTTTCGTTAACCGATTTCATTTAAATTTGGCACATAAATGTAATTCCAATGACAGTAAAATGTTGTGGTATCCTAGAGCAGATATCATGATGAAAATGGCAGACAGCTGAGAAAAACTCCAATAGTGTACAGCAGCTCCTGTGTTTGGGCTCATATTATTCGTTTTGACGGGGACTGCCATATTTTGCGTTTCAGTTATGTTGAGGAGACCACGGTAACGAAGAGAGCGAAATTGGAGCCAATTTTTGAGGTCGATATTTTTTATTTAATTAAATAAGAATTAGACATTTATGTCTAAAGTTAAAATATTTTGACTTCGACTTAGTACAGTTTTACTCAACCTTTATTGATAATAATCTCAGTACAGAGTACTAAAAAAACCGACCTCAAAAGTACGTGGAATTACATCTATTTGCCAAGTTTTATTGGAATCGGTTACCGGAAAGTGCGCAAACCCGGGTTCATCCCCTAGTTCGCCACTATACGGAACTTCACACAAGAGGTAACAAAAATCGGTTGTCACTATTCAAAGTATATTGAGAGAGAAAAACGCCTTGAATTGGAGAATAGCAAAATCAACCATTAAAATAATTGCTCCTTGTAATAAAATTTAGGTGCTACTTGTAAAAGTGAATCTTCATGCGTGAACAGCTACCCTTAGAGGTGGATAATTTTCTTCAAAATTAAATGGGACCACTATGGAGGTACCCTCTTTCCAACAAAATAAGAATCATCAAAATCGCTTCACAATTGGCGGAGTTATCGCGTAACATACATACAATAAAAAACAGTAATAATAATAATAATAATAACGCACACACTCAATAAAAAACAGTCGAAGTGATGACCTCCTCCTTTTTTTGAAGTCAAGTAAAAATAGAAATTAAACATTTTTTTTTATATTTTATGACAAAGCTGAAACGGTTGGTAATTATAACAATGTAACATTTTAACATTGATTAAAGTAAAAATTGAATAAATTACCCAACTTTTTCAATTAAAGTTTGCAAAATTAACCTCGAACCGCTCGACAAACCTATTAGTAGGATAAACAAATCAGTGTTAAATATGACAGTCGACAATTTGTTTGTTTTCAAATTAAACATAAAATAAAGAAATAATAATCCGCCAGTTTTTAGAAAAAACACTGTGTTCTTATGGGGTTTTCACTTCTGTTCTGCTAAATGTGCTGTGAGTAGCATAGAAAAATACAGTTTCTGTGAAGTTTTGTTTACAGCCACCCTAGAATTGACTATTTGAGTCCGCATTTGACAGCTGGCAGACAGGCTGGAAGCGGAAAGAGGTTCAGATGCGAACTATATAAACAAATTGTATAGGAATTGCAATTTTTTATGATATCAAACGACGAGATGAACATGTCGTGCGCTTCTAATCTATGACAGTTACAGTCCCACTGCGCCTATTACCCTGAGACATAAGTTGACAAGTTCCATGTCCCTGTAATTTCACCGGCAAAGATAAGGCCTTTCTAAACTAGAACGCAGTAATGCCCATATTATTGCTTGATAAGGTGGCAGTACTTCCCTGGACGAACTCTTTCACAAGGAGCTTTACTGTTACTAAAATCTCACTGTAGTTATTCCATATGCGTCGTTCTTTAAATGTACTACTCAAGTGTTAAGTTATTTACACATGTATAATTTAAACAACTTACTAGTTCACGTAAATCATTTTCGACGTTTTTCGTGACGTCCTGGCCGTCGTTATTTTCGCAAGGAATATCAAGCGTCTGAATAGTTGTTGGAGCTCGACTTTCGGCTGGAAAAGTAAATAAATACTTAAATGACAAGATGCTTTTGAACTTTGAAATGAATAATCTAAGTACTGAATTTTTACTCAACGGTTGTTTTACGTAAAACCTGGCAGAGATTTTAGATTCAGTAATTATCCTTGGTGTAAAAAGGTCACATCTGCGAAATTAGGACTTTTTTAAAGACAGGAATTTACAGTACATATTTAAGGAGATGACCTTCAGACCAAGTAAAATACACACACAGGCAACAATACAATATTTAGCGGAATAAAAAATTGCTATACAAATCAGTACAGCAGCTCTTATATGAACATCTTTCAACACCAACTTAGTACAGCCTTATTCCCGGGCGGCGTCGTGGTGAATGTTCACTGATCCCACGGCGCCGACTCAACCGGCAAGAGGGAAACCCGGGGGGGGTTTTAGTGGGGTAGTCCCTCCAGTCTGGAGGGAGAGTCCCCACATAACTCCTGAGTCTCCCTGGGCTCAGGGGTATCCATAAAGCTT